TAATGATGGTTGGCGCGTAGGACAAACTATTGTGAAAGAAGTGTTTTCTTATGATATCCGAACTCACGACAAATTCTGCTGTTTTACGAAGCTGGGCACACATTTTCTTGTCTAAGATTGATACAAATGTAAACTTGATTTTTTTGGTTCTCGAGGTTGTCGAACTTAATTAACCATCGGGTAAATAGAAATCATGTGGACACACCTGGCCATGGTGACGTCACCTGGCCGTGGTGACGTCACCCATGCGCCCAATCTGAAATAGATCTCGACGCCACCAGAATTTATATTAAAAAATGTGATCTAGCGGCTTACAGCGAACCGGCCAGCCATTTGTTATCGTAAGACAACCCCTAACTCCAGCCTGTCCATTAGAGAATGTTCGAGAGGCGCCTTTGCCCAGCCAACCGTGCCGGCCGTGTGATTACGAGCGTGCGTTTGTTGTGCCACCGCCGCGCGGGCAACTTTCCCGCCTTAATCTCGTCAGACCTGATACCAAAGTACGCTCCCTTATCCCTCTAATGACTTCATACACGATGCGCATTCTGCAGCTAAGTAAGCCCCTGGAGTGCACCCGCTTATGCTAGTTCTGTCCCCTTGCCCATGGGACGGCTCCCTGTAATAGGATTAAAGGGGAGAGAAGTGGTTTTCTTCTGCTCTTGTTAAGTTGCGGGGATAATCTCCCCTTTGAGTGTACAGGCTAATGAGGCATATTTGGCCAAGTCGGGCTCGAAAGGCCATGATGGCAGAGCCCTCGTATATCCAGGCTAATTTGGCCGTGAAGCTAATCAAGCCTATATTCACGGAGATTTATCTCCCCTTAAATTTGACCACGAGCCTTTCATGTTTTAGTACAGTATTTTTTTATATTTACGTTATAGGCATACAGCTTGGTGTTATTTAGAGTTTTACATTAGATGTAGACAGAATTTAAAGAAATTGAACATTCGATTTTTTGGGGTATTATTTTAAATCTTGCGAAATAAGGGGAAGTAATCACAAAATGTTTTCGACATATCTCCATACTCATTGGATAAACATGACAATCTTAATTCACATTTATCAGTTTCGTATCACAAATGTGTACCCGTGACATGGCAACCGATACATGTATTACACAAGATGTGGTCAGTGATTGACGTCACATCGCCCCGACTGACCAGGTAATCCGTGCGAGCATTGAGCCGTTAGACAAACACGAGAATTTCATGTTTGGTGAGGGCATTTGAACATTTTAAATCTCACTTGTTAAATACGGCGGGTGGTGGTAACAGAAATAAATAGCCTCACGGTTTTGTGGTCAAGTTTATTGACAAGTTTGTGGTCAAGTCTATTGTCCAGTTGGTGGTCAAGTCTATTGTCCAGTTGGTGGTCTGGGTGTTTGTTCAGTGGTTGGTCTAGTTGGACCAATTGTATACCACACCTTCCACAATTAGACTACATCAATCTATATAATATTACCCCATTATTTCCTCTATTATCTGATTGTAAAAGGTCAGTTGAAAATATAATAATTTTTTTACTATCTACCAATCTTAAAATAGCTTTTCATCATCTAATACCTTCCTTTAGCTGCCGGTTACCTTAGTTAAGTCGACGACTCCGTCCATATATTTGGCGACCACCACCCTCTTATTTGTTAGTTACTTCCCTTCATTTAAAGCTTCTCTCCCTTTAGCTGATTTTGTATCGACTATTAACATAACCGAGATAAACCCAACACAATCCTTCCACCTTGCCAGATAAAAAAAATATAAAACCGGTCAAATTAATTGCTGCAGGACGCCTGTGATTCTCGTTATTAATTTTACGGATTATCCGTCCCCGAAAGCTGTGAACCGCGACAAGATAAGGACGGAACACGATTCGTTTGACTGGACGGCTAAAATTGATGGTTTTGGTCAAATTTGTTCAACGATTTATCGGTCTGTGTGTGGGTTGGGGCAATGGTGATGGGGGGGGGGGGGGAGATTACTCACAACAGTGACGTTAAAAAGTTGTTCGAAACATCGACAATAAAAAAAAGTTAAAAGTAATTTAAGAGAGAGAGAAAAAAAGTTAAGCCACATCCAAACAAGCACGAAAATCTGGACTCGTTTTGGTTTAGAAATGAGATGCGCAAATGAGACAAAACACGCCCCTCCCCTGACTCCTCCCTACCCCCTCCTTGATTCATGTTTAGGAAAAAAAAATTTTTTTTGTTGGACTCGATAAGGTGTTTATGATAGCTTAGCCGGGGAGATAAAGTGTTAAATTTAATTTGCCCACAAATCGCATTAGGTGATTACCTAGGTAACAAGCCCCAATCCCTAGCCAGATTTTCCGTGCCGCGACACTCGGAGGGCTGTGGTGCCTGCCCACTTCTCGCTCTCAGCACTCGAGAAGGGACGGCTGATGTGGGGGACGGCTGATGTGGGGGATGGTTGATGTGGGGGATGGATGATGGGGAAAAAATCTATCCGATCAGTTGATACGTGGACGGGAGAAAAAACCTCGCCTGAATAACCCGTGTCTGCGTTTCTTTATTAGCTGGTAATTTGCGAATAATGCCACGCGAATTAATCACTTGCGGTAATGTGGCAGATAAATACAGATTTCCGCGTCCTTAGTCCTGATTGGTTGATTCCGTACTAATGAAATCCCGTTTTTTGATTAAAGTGCGACAATATTGATTACGTCATCGACAAAGGGATTTTTAAGTTGTTCGCGTTATCTTTATTCAAACAGTTTTTTTTCACAGGTTGGGGAAAGGGGGGGGGGTATTGTGGCAATTAAAATAGTTTTAAATCTTAAGAGATGAAATACATTCGCTGTATCGAGGGGCCTGGCAACCACGAGCAGGTTTAAGTAGGAAACTAATACGTGATATGTTTTATGTTAGCATTGTGTACAGCGCTCACCCGGGCATGAGTCTGTTACACCAGAGGTTGTACAACTACAACAGCAGCAGCAACAACGCCGACACACTAACGCATTAATACCATTAATGAGCAGTGTCGACAACTACACCTAACTTCAAACCTAACCTGAGCTCTTGTCACGGTTTTACAGAACGGTACTGACGTTATTGTCTTTGTAGCCTGACGTCATTACACACATGATGAGGATAGTTTCTGTTTTATATTTATAGACAGGTGGTAGGGTTGGAGACTGGAGAGATGGGTTGGAGACTGGAGAGATGGGTTGGAGACTGGAGAGATGGGTTGGAGACTGGAGAGATGGGTTGGAGACTGGAGAGATGGGTTGGAGACTGGAGAGATGGGTTGGAGACTGGAGAGATGGGTTGGAGACTGGAGAGATGGGTTGGAGACTGGAGAGATGGGTTGGAGACTGGAGAGATGGGTTGGAGACTGGAGAGATGGGTTGGAGACTGGAGAGATGGGTTGGAGACTGGAGAGATGGGTTGGAGACTGGAGAGATGGGTTGGAGACTGGAGAGATGGGTTGGAGACTGACTGGAGAGATGGGTTGGAGACTGGAGACTGGAGAGATGGGTTGGAGACTGGAGAGATGGGTTGGAGACTGGAGACTGGAGAGATGGGTTGGAGACTGGAGACTGGAGAGATGGGTTGGAGACTGGAGAGATGGGTTGGAGACTGGAGAGATGGGTTGGAGACTGGAGAGATGGGTTGGAGACTGGAGAGATGGGTTGGAGACTGGAGAGATGGGTTGGAGACTGGAGAGATGGGTTGGAGACTGGAGAGATGGGTTGGAGACTGGAGAGATGGGTTGGAGACTGGAGAGATGGGTTGGAGACTGGAGAGATGGGTTGGAGACTGACTGGAGAGATGGGTTGGAGACTGGAGACTGGAGAGATGGGTTGGAGACTGGAGAGATGGGTTGGAGACTGGAGACTGGAGAGATGGGTTGGAGACTGGAGACTGGAGAGATGGGTTGGAGACTGGAGACTGGAGAGATGGGTTGGAGACTGACTGGAGAGATGGGTTGGAGACTGGAGACTGGAGAGATGGGTTGGAGACTGACTGGAGAGATGGGTTGGAGACTGGAGACATGGGTTGGAGACTGGAGAGATGGGTTGGAGACTGGAGACATGGGTTGGAGACTGGAGAGATGGGTTGGAGACTGGAGAGATGGGTTGGAGACTGGAGACTGGAGAGATGGGTTGGAGACTGGAGACTGGAGAGATGGGTTGGAGACTGGAGAGATGGGTTGGAGACTGACTGGAGAGATGGGTTGGAGACTGGAGACTGGAGAGATGGGTTGGAGACTGACTGGAGAGATGGGTTGGAGACTGACTGGAGAGATGGGTTGGAGATGTGGATTGGAGAGATGTGTTGGAGACTTAGGTTGATGACGGGTTGAAGAGACAGGTCTGACCACTCTTGACCAACAGCTAGCCAGGCCACCTTTTACATGATACCAAATACCCCCCCCCCTCCCCCACACCCTCCCAACGATAGCACTGCTCAGCGTCAGATAAGCATGAATGATCTACAACGGCTTAAGGATTAAGATTAGTTTGGTAACTCTTCTCTTACATAAACTTGTGTCTGTCAGCTCGCCCGACAGCTACCCCGATTCTCGTTAGGAAATTCCACTAATTCATTTAGGAAATTCAAAATTAACTTACTTTTTCAGACATCCAAATCAGCGTGAGATTTAAAAAAAAAGTTTTTTTTATCTGCTGAAATATATGTTGGAGATACCATAGTGGAGGGGAGGGGGAGTGTGAGGGGGAGGTAGCAAAAAAGTGGATGGGAGGGGCAGAAAAAGATTAGTAAGGGGAGACGACTTAGACAATAAGGGGCATAACTTTGAAAGAGATCTTTTAGAAAACCAGTGATGGGATCACGCGGACTTAGCTTCTGCTAGCGATCAAAGGCTTCTTACTTTAATATGACAAATTTGGTTTCTCCAGAATTTTGACGTTTTTAAAAAAAAATAAAAAAATCACCCATGTATTTCTGAACTTTCACTGTGTAAAAACTCATTCTTTTTGTTCAGCATTGAAAATTAATTTTTACCTTCCTTTTTTTCCAGGGTTACGGTCCTTGCCTATTCATTGTGTGATCGAGCAAGAGGACTCGGTCAATGACGTCAGAGACTTTGAGAGTAACCCCCACGCTCGTGTGGTCGTTGACACCTATGCAATACTTCCAGGGGCGACACTGTTCTTTGATTTGGTCACTGCCTCCCTGCTGAAGCTGGGCTACACAGCTCCAGAAGCTGTTGGAGCCAAGGGTAATCCCAACTTTTGTACACATCATACATACATACATACATACATTTATACTTTATATTTTTATATCTTTATTTGCTAATACATTTCAACATTTTAAAGATGAGTTAACTCATTTTAACTTTTTAATTTTTTACACATTTTTCAGTTAAATTTTTTTTACATTTGAACATTTTCTTTTCTTTTACATGGTTACACATTTGAACATTTTGTTCGATACCATATTCTGTTGATTCTAGTTACAGCTTAGTCATTGGCATTTTTGTCTCCATTAATCATTAAGCAGAGGCTTACCCTAAACTTAACCTCAAACATAATCCTAATATTCCTTGAAACCAAACTTGTTCTTATTCTTAAACCTAACCTCAAACCTAAATTTTCTTATAACCACAGTGATAATTCTTGTGTTAATCAGTTCCTAAACTCAACTGTAGACTTCAACTTAAAACCTAACCTAGCCCTAAACTCTCACCCTAATCCTGTGGCGGGAAACAGCTAAGCTGTCAGTACCTTGAGCCGGTACCCTGCCAATGTTTGGTCTGGATCAGGTTTTGCCAAGTCTCCCCCTAATGTAATGATCTGTCAATGGCCTGTTGATGTGTGGGCTAATCCCTTTGATCTCTCTGTCCAATCATTTTAGGTGGCTTACAGTTGAAGAACTGGAAGACTTTGACTTTTGCTGACGTCACTGACAACCACCTGGCCACAGTGGAGGAAATACTTGGTGAACTGACCAGTGTCGCCACACTTAGGATACGTCTGAGGTAAAGATATGGTCTGTCAGTGGTCAGGCCGTTGTTGGCCAGCCATCTTAATCATATCTACTCATTAGTTAGTCATCTTACACATATCTACTAATTGGTCAGTCATCTTACACATATCTACTCATTGGTCAGTCATTTTAATCATATCTACTTATTGGTCAATCATCTTACACATATCTACTTATTGGTCAATCATCTTACACATATCTACTTATTGGCCAGTCATCTTAATCATATCTACTTATTGGTCAATCATCTTACACATATCTACTTATTGGTCAATCATCTTACACATAACTACTCATTGGTCAGACTGTTGTTGGTCCGTCATCTTACAAATAACTACTACTTGGTCAGTTATCTCTTACTCAATTTAGTCTGTTAGCCAACTTTCTGTAAATATAAAATCTGTCAGTTATCTGTTAGTAAACATAAAACCTGTCAGTCATCTGTGAGTAATTATATCAAATCTGTCAGTAAATATCAAATCTGTTGATTTTTTTAATAACAATCCAATATCTAGTTTTTGGTCCAATGTCCAGTCAGATTCTGTAGTGTTTAATAACATCAATCCAGCAGATAACATTAAAGATATCACATGAAAAACCCCTTCTCAATGTATCTGTAGACTGGGGTATGAGTGTTAGGGAGGGGGGTGAGAACAAACCTGTTTCAACAGACTGTCAGAATGGTATAATAACACGAAAACCACTATCACATAAATACACAAACAGCTGCTTGATGTCAGTTGTCATGACTTCACATGATGAGGTGTTGAGGTAAAATTGAACATACCCTCTGTGTCACCAGGCATGTACGTGTGAGTTCCACCAGTGAAGACGTCAAGGAAAAACTTCTTCAGCTGTTGCTGACCAAGTCCAAGGATTTTCTCCTTCAGGCTGGCTGTCCCATTGAAAAGGTAGGTCACGGGTTGGAGGGTGTCTTGTCTGATAGTCTTGTAAAACGTTATGTCATTTAGCTCAATGAGGTTTATTTTTATGTCATGGTGTGGTCTAGTGACTCAGCAGCTAATTACAAGTCTGATGGGTGTAGGTTTTATAAAAGGTCGTGTATTTGGTTTCACCAGAATCTCATTTAGGTCTCTTGGCTGACCCAGCCTTAATTGGTACCCAACCAAGTTTAAGGAAAGTCAACCAGATATTGTTCTGTATAAACCTTCTCATACCTTAATGATAAACCAGCTGTGTCTGACCTCTTTGTTCTTTGTTAATTTAATAACTACGGCCAGGGATGCATGACATAACAAAAGCTGATCGGTTTTATTTGCAAAGAAGAAATTGCTGATGCTTTGTTTTTTTCCTCTCATTGCCGTTGTAAATGATAATTATCTAAAATAAATTTCTCCTTTTTTTTGTTTTCGCCAAGTTTTGACAATTTTTATCACTTCCTGTTTCAGTCCCTTCTTGACACGATAGCCACAGGGGAGATAAGTCAGCACATCCCAGACCAGGTGTGCTCTCTCTTTGATGAGTGGTACACTAGACAGAAGGGGGACAGTTCACCTGTCCTGTCCAAACATTCCAGCCCTGCCAAGCCACAGCAGTCACCTCCCCTGTCAGCTGTCACACCCCTCCAGGGAAAACCCCAAGATGAGAGCCCTTCAAAGTCTGACTCCCCCATGGAGTTCACCGACTCCCCCGTCGTCCAGAGCCTGAAGATTGACCAGCCAGTCATCAAGACTGAAACTCTGTCCAGCTATCCATCCGATGTACACGAAGCCCTAAACCTCAAGCATCACATACCCAGTCTCACAGACACTAGTCCCATGCGTAACAAAATCAAAACAGAAAAAATGCTGGATAAGAACAGCCTAAAAGATTTCTATAAAATATCACGGTCCCCTAGCGAAGGCAACATTCCATCCACACTACAGAGTCATCCATCAAACCCATACCTGGGGCTAATGCCAGGTAAAACAAGAATCCGGACATCTTTTGATCCGGAGCATGAAATCCCTAGACTCCAAAAATGGTTTATGGATAACCAGCATCCGACACGGGAACAGATGATGAGATTTATGCAAGAACTTAACGGCCTTGAGTCTCGCAAAGGCCGCCGGCCCCTTGATCTCACTAATATAATCTACTGGTTTAAGAATGCACGTGCGGCCCAGAGAAGAGCCAGCAAAGCTCTGGACGATTCGTTTGAGAATGAAGAAAATGTAGACATGAACTCTGCTGGTTCTGGTAATTCTGTCACCGAGTGCGTCCCCCCGTATCTACCCAACAAAAACGCTGTGTACATGATCCCCTTCCACCCCTACCCCCATCTTCTGTCCGACACGTCTGCTGCTGGGGCAGACGAGCCGTACGACTTGTCCGTCACCAAACGTCCATCTGACATGTCAAAAATGCAAAACGGCAAAGATAAAGATGTGTCATTTTCAGACTCTGCGACCCCTTCTCCCATTAAGTCTTCACCGTCGTCGTCTGAGGGCGAAGGTCAAGGTGACATACTCAAGAAGAAAAAACCTTACTGCACTCAGAGGTTTCCTGCTCTTCTGGACGTGGCCTCCAAATTGCGTCAAGAAATTCCCCCGAGGTCTAACGACATCTTCCAAACCATGAACACTGATGTCAGCAACGGCCGGATGTCACCTTTCAGGTCAGGGTCCAGTGACATGGAGCGATCCAGCCGACAGGATGAAACAGACACCTACTCTGACCCGTCCACCCCCCTGCCAAACGGAGGCTCCGTGGCTGAGCACTATTTGTCCAGCTTGAAAATCAAGCATGAACATTGCAAATACTCACCCAGGGACCATAACTCAGAGTCTAAGCAGAGTTACCTCCATGCTAGTCACATCTCTCGCGAGTCCAGCATAGAACTAGGCCAGATAAAAAAAGAGCAGGACAAGATCGAGTGCAGCGATGATGAAAACTCTAACGACAGTTACAATTCTGAAGAAGAACTGAAACTGCGGTTGAAGCAGAGCGCGGCTGTTGTTGATTACGCCTCGGCAATGCATAACAATGTGTCGCGGCTGACCGCAGCAAACATGGCCGCTCTCTCGCTGGCCCAGATGGGGCAGTCGCTGCACATCCCACAGCTGCCTCCGTCGCTAGCCATGGCCTACTACCCCATGGACCACCGGTTCTACTCCCAGACCAGTGTCCAGCACTCGCTCTCCTCCTCCCCCCTCACCTCCCTCTCTGCCAACCATGCTTCTCATCTGTCTCAACTCTCACTCCGGCAGGACTCTGCGCCTCACGATGCCAGGAGCCCCCTCCCCTCCCCCTCTATGCAGCAGTCCATCAACCACCTCTCTCAGCACCAGCGACAGTCCCCACAGCAACCACACCACAGGCACCACTCGGAGCCTCGCAAGCGACGGACGCGGGTCTTCATCGACCCGCTGACTGAGATTCCCAAGCTTGAGAAGTGGTTTACGGAGGACACCCACCCCTCAGCTTTCATGATAGACAAGTACTGCGAGGAGCTGAACAAGTGTGAGTACCGGCACAAGTTCCCCAAGCTGGAGCCCAAAAACGTTCAACTCTGGTTCAAAAACCACAGAGCCAAAGTCAAACGCATGAAAGTATCTTTTGATGGTCAAGGTGATCCCGATGGTAGCATGTGTATGGATGATGATATAGATGACTAATTGTGTGTCCATTTAATGTATTGAAAAGCCATACTGTTTATTGATAATTTCCATTTAGATCTAGTACACTAGTCATACATTTTTTTTTAAATTTTGATACATTTAGTATGATAAAAGATAAATACCACACTCATCAAAATGAACTGAGATTTCTAGCAAAGTATTTTAAATTAATTAAATCTACAATAACTCAGTCTAAAAATAGTTTGTTTAAGGTTTATAAACAGACAAAAAGTGTTTTTGTATAATTTATTATTATATTGATACCATGAACATGGATATAAAATAACTGTTAACTCCAAAAGAGTTTATTTACAGAACATTTCTTTGAGTGTCATCAGACAATTTAGAAACCATCTCACCAGTAAAGTGTCTGAAACGACCAACACAGAAAATTGAATTAGGTCCCTTGTTTTTTTTTAGTTGTTGGTTTATCTCCCTTTATGCTGAGGTTTTTACTTAAAGTTATAGTCCTTACAAGTTTTGTGATTTATTTATTTCTTTGATTCTCTTATATCAATTATATATATGTACATAGTTACTCTGTATACTTTTGTTAAAAGTTAGTTTGGCAATCAATGATCTGTTAGCAAAGTCTTGAATTTGTTAGTCATTGTTAACACACTGGTCCATTGTTGGTCTACAACGCAATCAAAAAAATTTCTTTTTCATTCATATGATTAAAATAACATGTTATTTTCTTTCCTTCATGAGATAATGTTTATCTCATCTATAATATATGATATATCGTATGCAAGCATAAATATTTTCAACTACATTTTTGAATGTAACTTGTGTAATACCGACATTTGAATTTTGTTGTGGATCTTTAGTGTCCATGTTCATAGAAATCCAGTCAGAGCACGGGTTCTTTTACTTTTTATTCACATCATGTGTATAGTATGTACAATAGCATTTTTTACTTGAGATACAGTTTTAAATATCGCAGCTTTAATTAGTTAATTGCATGCAAATCCAATAAGTATTGAATGGCATATGTGTAATTCCATTTTTTGTGTGCAAATTACCATGGTTTAGGTTATTTTTTACTTGCAATATCTACTTGTAATTACTTGCAGTATTTGACGTGTTTGAACAGATTATTCCTAGATTGTTTCTGATTGTGTATGCAGGGCAGGCGATCCACACTGTCACATTCTGCAGTAAAAAAACCTTTCTCTCAGTTCTATAATGAAGTTGAACACCAAACTTAATGTTTACATGGTTAAATTTTTGTTACAAATATCACCATTGTATTTAAAAATCTGACAAAAGGGGCAGTCAAGTAGGGGAGAGGTGTTGAAAGATTGTAGGGAAGGTTAAATTTAGATTTTGTAGTTCTGCAAGATAATTACAGCAAAATTACTGGATCAGTTTTAAAGTTTTTATATATAGATTTATGTGTGGTTAGTCAAATTAAGGATGGCTAAGAGAACAGATACAGTTGGATGAATGAAAACAGAATGTTCAACTTTTTATACTCCCTTCAGTATTTTGGTTTTAGAATATTCTTTTTATCCATTTTATTCAATAGAAATATTAGCAGCTTGTAAATTTTCTACTGTAAACAAATCCAATAAATTTAAGTTACACAATTTTTCTGTGTGCATATCCCTTGTCGAAATAACATTCTTGCTTTATGTATATTGACCTAACATAAGTCTAATAAACTGTACATGTACAATTATATTTATATAGTTTATTTATTTCTCAATAATCATGCATGATGATTTATTTCTATGTAACCGAGAACTTTGTTTATTGTGTCATTACATGAAAGTTGTGTAAATTATTGTAAATTATCATATAATATAATTAGGGCAAAATCTTAAGTGACAGTGTATTTTGTTAAAATTAATTTTTGTCATTTGGGACCATAACATTTTAGCTAAATAGCTATATCGTTGCTTTAAGAGTTAAATTTTACTTTGTTATAAAAATAGTTGTTTTTTTATTACAGGCTCGTTAAATTGCTGATATTTTTTTTTATTAATACCATTTTCATAATACTTTGGTTGTAAGTTAAATTTAAAAAATGATTGATTGTTAACTACCTTGCAATGTACTATTTCCATTTCTGCAATGTTAAAACTATTTTTTTCTTGATATTAATCATGTTAATAATTGTTTTTAGAATGTATAGTAGTATTCTATTTTTAATTAATGATTTGTGTCATTTATTTTAAATCTTTAACTTGTGACAATCTAAAAAACTATCTCACCATGATTTGTATATTGTAAATGAGCAAACTAAGATGATTTGAAATTAGTATCATACACAATAATATACAATAAAAAAATCTTAATTTAAAAAATAATCAAAATGATACTTTAACAAAAGGATGAACCAAAGACTTTATATTCAACTTATTTTTTATTTTAAATTACATTTGTAAAGCTTTTGGCTTAATCATTTGATAAATTTGAATTTTTTTTAAAAAAACATTTTTAGTGACTCATTCATGTATCATGTCTTTAGATTATCATCACAATATCCAGATTTCCGTAGTGTAAAGAAAGCTGAAAATGCCATGTTTAACTGTGGATGTGTTCAAATTATTTTAGACAACGCCATGTCTTACACCCCCATTATCCTCTTCTTGTTGAAATCCATTGTTTTAATTTATAATCTGTTGTATGTTTTTCCTTCCTTTAACAATTTATTTTGTCTTGTAGTAACTTTTAAAAAAAATTTGATTTAAGTCGCTACTCAGTCGTGAAATGACTATGCAATAACTTGTGCATTTTTAGATACATATTTTAGCCACTTGCACAAAATACGAATTAAATCAAACATGCTCTACTGGCAGAAATTCCACTTGAAATATCAATGGTTTTAAATTCCATCATCCACAGTGCCAGGTTTAAAAATACAAATTACTATGTGATATTTTTTCATGTTGAAATAACTTCAAAATAATCTGCTTCGGAGAATGTTGCTTGATAATCTAATTTAGCAATACCATTTTTGTCCCCAGTATAAAACAGCTGTAATGAACATTGTTGTGATAGCTAAGAAGATGGGTCAGTAAACTGCTTTTTGAGTCTTCGGATACTGGTGCTAGTAAAAAAAACAATAAAACTGTTCAGCATAATATCTTTTGATTTATCCCCTATGAACTTGTCTTGAGTTTACCCGCAAGATGTTAAGTTCTAGTTGTGTTTGTTATTAATAGTAATTTAAAATGTACTTTTAAATTTCCAAGGAATTTGTTTAATAAGCATTTTTTTTATCTTGTGTTTAAAGAACAGGGTGGATTGTCTCATTTATGGACTTTTTGTACCATAACATTTTGTTCATTTTTTTTTGTTCCACACAGGGTAAATTTTTGTCTAGTCTTGTAAAAATGATTCTTTTGTATTTAGCTTTTTTTTTTTGGAAAAAAATAATTTTAAAAGTAAAATTCAAGGAAATATTTGAAAAAATAGTTCAATTCCTAGGTCCAGTAAACTGTAAATTAAAAAAAAATTACTCTTAAAAATGAATTTTTAATATAAGAGTACAAAAGGTGTGAAGTTTAATCAGTGTTTTAAAAAATCTTGCAAAAAACAAACAGTAGTTTAACTTGCACCCAATAGATCCTAGAGCACATGTTGTTGTGTATGATGTTAGCTCAGATGTGTAGTTCAGCCATGGACACAAAACATCATTGTTGTTTCTAGTCTTATTGTACATGTGTCACTCACCTCAGAGAGAAATGCAATAATAACAAAAGTTAAAGAACTCTTGGCTTTGTCTTTTTATTTCTTATGTTGGCACGATGGATTCTTTAAGACACACTAACTGAATGTCTTGAGTTCAAATTTCGGCAGGACATCCATGAGTCCACCCTGCTTTGATGGGTACCTGCCTGATTTAGAGAAAGTAAAGGCAACTGGGCTCATTGACCTAGCTTATCCCTTAGTTCAAGTGCAGACATCAAAGAAACTTGTGAACTCTACTTCACCTGCCAGGTTCTGAAGTCACAGTTGTACTCAACTGCCTGTAAAGCAGATAACAGGTTGATACACAATACTAGACAGTATTGGAGGAAATCAGGTCCAGATTACATCCATATATAACTACTATAAGTAATATAACTAAAATTTATATCCAGCTCAAACATTTCCAACCCATACAAACACAAGTCTTTTATGGTTTAAAAAAATGCAGAACTATACATTTACTTTATTGAAGTATAAAAACTCTTTAAATGAAAAGCAAACCATTACCAAACATACAACATATATTAAGAAATTTCTAATTTCTTAGTTTTCTTCATAACAAAAATAAATTAAAATCTGTGACGTGATTTACAAACAATTTTGATTTGTTCAAAATTTTTAGCAAGCTAAACAAAATCACTTTTGATTTCAATGAACCAGCATGACAAAACACTTAAATAACAGCACAAGGAAATTAATCAGGTCAGCTTTACAATCATACCATCAGTGAAGACAACTTTAGATTCCAATCAACCTTATACTCAAAGCAATAAACTAATAAAACAAATCAACAGGTAAGGAACTGTCCTAACGAATAATATTGCCACTCTAAAATAAAAACTAAATATTTTATTTTTTTAACTCTAAAAATATATCAGTATAGAGTAATTTGTATATCAAGAAAGGACTTTAGCTAGTTTTACACATCCATACTATCAAAATACTTCTGCCTAAAAACTAAAGTTATATGGAAGCTGTTCTTTTGTGTTAGGTCAAGCCAATAGATAAGCATACATTGGTGATATTCTTACTTTGGCAGACAGTAAAGAAGAAGCAATATGATTCTAAGATATGCTCATGGAGCTTATATAATAATACTAATATAACTATGTTAAGTTATGCTGATGGTAGTTTAGAGTGTTAACACAACTAGGAATGATAGCAGCTATCTCGCAGGATGAACTGTTTCTGGGTAGAACAAGTCTTTACTCCACTTTCCTCTTTCTGTCCAGGGCACCACTCAAAACCTTTCTCCTCTGGCTAAACATGTGGAGGTACAGCTGGGGGAACACTGAAATCATGACAGGTGGTAGAATTAATTAATTAACATGTGGAGGTACAGCTGGGGGAACACTGAAATCATGACAGGTGGTAGAATTAATTAATTAACATGTGGAGGCACAGGGAACACTGAAATCATGACAGGTGGTAGAATTAATTAATTAACATGTGGAGGTACAGCTGGGGGAACACTGAAATCATGACAGGTGGTAGAATTAATTAATTAACATGTGGAGGTACAGCTGGGGGAACACTGAAATCATGACAGGTGGTAGAATTAATTAATTAACATGTGGAGGTACAGCTGGGGGAACACTGAAATCATGACAGGTGGTAGAATTCAGTATTAACATGTTTAAGTTAGATCCTTCCGTTAAATATCAACAGAACAACACAAGGTATTAAACAAGTAAATATGGGATGGCTAAATGCTCACTGCCAGCATACAGTTAAACTTACAGTGGATTATGGCTTCAAGTTAATGAAGATATGAGGCAGTAATGATTGAAGTTGATGATAGAGGGGACAACAAGGTAGTGATAAACCTCTAAAACTGGGACTTAGAGATGAAGTTGTATTGTAGAGACTCACCAGGCAGGTAAGAGACGACAATAAAACAGAGATAATAATAGTAGTTGAAGGCGATGTTCCACTTGTTGGGCAGATCAAAGCTGTAGAGCTTGGTGTCCCGGACACTTGGTAGAGCACTGAAGATGGTCATCAGCTCACCCTGGGGGTGACACAAGGTCATGTAAGGCATTGACTGGTCAGGTGACAACACAAAGTAGGTCATGTAAGGCATTGACTGGTCAGGTGACAACACAAAGTAGGTCATGTAAGGCATTGACTGGTCAGGTGACAACACAAAGTAGGTCATGTAAGGCATTGACTGGTCAGGTGACAATATAAAGTAGGTCATGTAAGGCCTAGTCTGGTCAGGTGACAATATAAAGTAGGTCATGTAAGGCATTGTCTGGTCAGGTGACAACACAAAGTAGGTCATGTAAAGCATCCTGGTCATGAGACATAACACAGAATTCAAAGTAGATCACCAAAGGTATTGTCTGATCAGGTGACACAGCAGTACACACTTCTTTTCTTCGTTCTTAATTATTAGTGTTGGAGGGGATCGAGATTTATCTGCCAGTGGGTTTGAACTTGAGACTTTGTTCCAATTTATCAACCATGAGCTTTTTGCCGACTCGACCACGCCTCCAACACAATTAAGCGTTACTTGTCAACTGGTTATGCGCCATTGAGGCCATTGACTCCGATTTCAGCCTGCTTTTCTTTTTGGATTTGCTTCCATAGCCTTTGTCCAACCAAGAACAAACTACAAGGCAGCAGTTGTTTTTAATTTTGGAGTTGTCTCTCCTAGAAGAGTGGCTGTCCCCAGCTAACGAGCCTCATCTGCCCGTGGGTTCGAACTCGAGACCACGCCAACTCCTCAGTACACACTAAATTGGAAGTTTTTGGTTTATCTTTTACCCTAAAAATTTTGGATATTCACTTAAGAGCTAAAACTTAAGCAAATATATTTTTATATATAGTTAGTATAATGGGGCAGTGTGGTTGGGAAGTAGTACACACCACTACTCACACAAAAGTCTTGAATTAAGTTAAGCCCATGTGAGAGGTTGAACCCACCCAGCGCTAGTAAGTACCTTAATCAGATAAAGTAATAGTGGCAGGCATCATGCCATGGTCTGAGAAACAGACCACAACTACTTCATCTGCCCCATCATGTATGAAAGGGTACTTAACTTAATTTACACAACGCAAATATAGATTATGAAAAATAATAAAAATAATTGGTCACCAACTTACTGTTACTCCAATAGGGTACAGGACAATAAAGAAAGTATACCTAGAAAATAAACAAGATAAAAATCTACTTAGATTTCTACATCAAATGATATCTCAACAATTACTTAAGTAAATAAAATTCTCAATTTGACATTAACTTAACTAGATGTTTAGAAATGTAAATAACTATAACTGCACAAAAAAAAAAAAAAAGAATTGTGTAAAGGAATAAGACCATACAAGAAACAATGTATAAATCTGATTCTCAAAAAAAAAAAACATCAAATTTTTACAGAGATTGGTAAGATTTGATTGAACTGACCTGCACCAAACGAGAAAATTGGGAACTGGTCCAGGTAAAAGGCTGAAGAAGTAGAAGGTGTAGCGGACAATCTCAGTGATGGTCCAAGCAAACAACCACAGACTCATCTGGAACCCATGCTGGGCCTGCAACACATAATGCTAGTGGGAATTTGTTACGGTATATGTGTCTAAACATAGATGATGAGAGTAACAGTTGATGGAGGATGTTTTAGGGCCTAAATACATAATGGTAGTGGGAATTGGTTACGGTGTATGGTATATGTGTCTAAACATAGATGATGAGAGTAACAGTTGATGGAGGATGTTTTAGGGCCTAAATACATAATGGTAGTGGGAATTGGTTACGGTGTATGGTATATGTGTCTAAACATAGATGATGAGAGTAACAGTTGATGAAGGATGTTTTAGGGCCTAAATACATAATGGTAGTGGGAATTGGGGATGTTTTAGGGCCTAAATACATAATGGTAGTGGGAATTGGTTACGGTGTATGGTATATGTGTCTAAACATAGATGATGAGAGTAACAGTTGATGAAGGATGTTTTAGGGCCTAAAATACATAATGCTAGTGGGAATTTGTTACGGTGTATGGTGGATGGTATATGTGTCTAAACATAGATGATGAGGGTAACAGTTGATGAAGGATGTTTTAGGGTCATGCTAGGCCTAAAATACATAATGGTAGTGGGAATTTGTTACCGTGTATGGTGGATGGTATATGTGTCTAAACATAGATGATGAGAGTAACAGTTGATGAAGGATGTTTTAGGGTATTGCTGGGCCTGCAATACATAATGGTAGTTCGGTTTTTTATGTTGTGGATTCAATTGTATATGTTTGATGGTATGGTACAAGACCAAACTAAATGTAGATAATGACAATGACATAGACAGCTGATTAAGGATGTTTTAGGGTTAGATAATAGTAATGTATAACAGAAAGAAAAGGTTGGCAAGTATTAGCTATTTGTATTTGTTTGTTGTTATGTAAATTTGTTTTTGTTTGTTATGGAATATGTAAATTATTGTAAATTTGTTTTGTTTGTTATGGAATATGTAAATTTATTTTTGTTTGTTATGGAATATGTAAATTTGTTTGTTTGTTATGGAATATGTAAATTTTTGTTTTGTTTGTTAAGGAATATGTACAGATGAGTATGATCTGGTGAGAGCAGAATGTTCTAGTAGACAGGAAAAGGAGACAGTCAGTAGGATGGAATTAGTTAGGAGGCAATGTTTTTTAGTTCTGATGGTAGCCTAGAGAGATAGAAATGACCATGTATATTGGTCAACAAGTGGACGAGACCAGACTTACGGCAGGAACACTCCAGACAATGCCCCAGACCAGGAAGACGCGAGAATAAACTTGAAAAGCTGTTAGAACCCAGTTGGACCTGACCATCCCTGTCATGGCATGGACAATCTGTTTCAATACAACAATAAATCACTTTCAATACATTCTCTGTCATGGCATGGACAATCTGTTTCAATACAATAAATCAATAACTTTCAATACATTCTCTGTCATGGCATGGACAATCTGTTTCAATATAACAATAGATAACTTTCAATACATTCTCTGTCATGGCATGGACAATCTGTTTCAATATAACAATAGATAACTTTCAATACATTCTCTGTCATGGCATGGACAATCTGTTTCAATATAACAATAGATAACTTTCAATACATTCTCTGTCATGGCATGGACAATCTGTTTCAATATAACAATAGATAACTTTCAATACATTCTCTGTCATGGCATGGACAATCTGTTTCAATATAACAATAGATAACTTTCAATACATTCTCTGTCATGGCATGGACAATCTGTTTCAATACAACAATAAATAACTTTCAACACATTCTCTGTCATGGCATGGACAATCTGTTACAATACAACAATAAATAACTTTCAATACATTCTCTGTCACTGCATTAGGAAACAATTTCAGTCAAAGCAAAACAACTCAAATCTACACTTATCTTTAAAAATACAATTAACATACAACAAGAGCAAATTTAATTCTTTGTGTGTCACCTACCTCTAAAATAGCAGCAGTCTGACATATCTGAAGAATACTTACAACTTCATAATAAAGAAGACCAAAGCTTTTATTTGAGAAAATATGGTTAACCATAATCACCATAATAGCCAGCCATCTAAAAACAAGGAAAGAAATCTCAATTAAAATCTTAGTTTCTATTAAAAAAATGTACTAGATATTATAAGACTTTTTAAAGCTCTTATTAATACTATATTACTTTATCCCTGGCTTGTTAAATAACTGAACAATAAATTAAAAATAATAGTTTAAATACATTTGTTTGGTTCAAGTTAGTAAAAGTAGTAGTTTTAATTTTTTATGTGCTTCACATTTTTAAAATCAGTTATGAACTGTTAACTTTGTAACTGTTAACCCAGATAAGTTATTTTTCTAAGTAATATTCTGAAATTTTCTGTAAAATTTAAAATATTACATTTTTTTAAAAGCAACACAAAAGAAATGTTTGGCAACTGTGAAATGAAGAGATGATTTATATGGCAAGTGTCAAGCTAGCATGCAGCATAGGCATTGGGTTTAAGTTGAACAGGTCAGTGTCTACATTTAGTTGATGAAGCCTCAACACTAAGGACAGTTTAACCACATAACATTCAACAACATCTCCCACATTTATTATTTTTGGTAATGATATTCTTGCAACAATCTTACCATTTATCATGTACAGTGAGGCTTATGAGCATTACTTATCATGCTAATCATTATGTTGATGAAGCATCAACTTGTATAATTTTTGCTTTTTTAAAAAGCTGTGTGCTTTATTTGTATTCAGTACTAGCTGATGTGCCGTGCCCAGCATAGATTAGGGAAGTTTTTTTTTTAAACATTTGGTTAATAATACTGAACTCATTATCCTGTGTTTGCATATAGATTAACCTTTAGTTTAGAAATGAATCATGGTACATCAACCATTTTTAAAAATGTTCTCATTGTGTTTCTTTCCCCATTCTTAAAACATTCTTAAATTCCACAAAAAGACAATAATCAATGAGCTATACTGGCTCTTTCTTATTTAACACCCTCAACATTGTATTACAATTCTCTGTGTCAATCCACGTAAATAACTAGATAAAAAGGAAGAAAAAAAAATAACCAAAACAAATTTTTGCTGTAAAGTTATGCATAAAGTGCAACAGATTTATGTTGAAAGTCAAATTTTCACCATGCCAATTTTCTCATTCAACAGCTTAAAAAATGATTCAATACTAGTTACAGAAGCTAGTAGCTAATTTCAGAGACAGCTATGGTTAAAGTTGGGAGTCAAGATGATCATCAGCAAGCTTTTAAGATCTAATATATTGCATGATAATAGTCTATGGTGTATGTGGGGTTAAGATTTTATTTTAGCATTCAAAATTGCACATGATTCTGGTGTCTTCCTGTAGTTTTAGAACTCAAAGGGAGCTAACACAAGCAACAAAGTATCTAATTCTAAAGACAAAATGCTCAATTAATCCTACACTACATCTACTAGTGTAGAATGAACATAAGAAAAATAACAACATTATTGTTTCTTTGAGGATGGAGGATCCAAAACTAACATTTTAAAAAAAATTGCCTTAAGTTTAAGTGAAAAAATTAACTTTTTAAATTAGTTATTGGGTAACAAAAATTAAACATCTGGTGATGTTTGTTCATTTGCGCAAGGTTTAATCCAACCTAGTTTGACTTTTGTAATGCTTTGTCTCAAATTTTTGCCCTGTTTTTTAGTTTCTTGAAAGCAGAGTATAGAGGAAGTATTGAAATCGAGCGAAAAAAAAAAAAAATCACATGTAATTTTGACTGCTTAAGTTTTACACCTCGGTACTAAATCATATATGTAGTATAGGGGACTTATTTTAATCTGACAAAAATTCTAATTCTGGATTTATCAAAATCTTGGCATTCTATGCGTCATAGAGTCTGAAAAACTGGACTTTGAAATTTTGTTTGTATGCCTGTGTGTGTGTCTGTCTGGGAACATGTTAACTTGTATACCCTCCCAGCTAGGATGACAAAGTTCATATACAAGTATTTTATCAACTTTTCAAATGATTTCCAGTAACCAGAAGTGGTGCTTATTCTACTTACTAGATAAATGGCCCGTTGAGGAAGGGTACAACGGGCGCTAGGCTGATAGTGCTGTCTCTTTTCTCTAAACTAAAACCATCCCACCCCCCCCCACACACCCCCACCCCCCCCCCCCACCCCACACACACCACCCCCACCCCCCACCCCCACCTCCACCCCCCACACACCACCCACCCCCACCCCCACCCCCCACACACCTCCCCCCACCCACCCCCACCCACCCACCCCCACCCCCCAAAAAAACATGTCTACCGTCCCATTCAACGAAATATAATTATATACTTTTTCCAGTGTCCGCCCCCTTCCCGAAAATTCTACCCCCGCCCCCGAAAACCTCAAGTACCCCCTGCCCCTCTCCGGGGAGGAAAAAGTCTGAAAGAAACACTGGTGTCGCGCTTAGCCACTACGCGAAGAATTGCATTAAAGAAATTGCGAGAAAACCACTTTTTAGATTAGACACATTAATTAGGTGGTAATTTTATTATAGAGTATCGATGAGGAAACCACCCCACCCCACCCCCCCACACACACCTCCACACACCACCCACCCCCACACACACCCCCCCACCCGCCACCCCCCCCACACCACCCCCCACCCCCCCCCACACACCACCCCCCACCCCCACCACCCCCCCCCGCACTCCCAAAAAAATCATGTCTACCGTCCCATTCAACGAAATATAATTATATACTTTTTCCAGTGTCCGCCCCCTCCCAGAAAATTCTACCCCCGCCCCCGAAAATTTCAAGTACCCCCACCCCTCTCCGGGGAGGAAAAAGTCTGAAAGAAACACTGAAACCAACCCACCCCCCACACACCACCCCCCACCACCCCCCCACACACCACCCCCCACCCCCCCCACACACACCACCCCCACCCCCCCCCCCACCCCCACACCACCACCCCCCCCCCCCCCACCACCCCCACCCCCAAAAAAAACATGTCTACCGTCCCATTCAACGAAATATAATTATATACTTTTTCCAGTGTCCGCCCCCTCCCAGAAAATTCTACCCCCCGCCCCCGAAAATTTCAAGTACCCCCACCCCTCTCCGGGGAGGAAAAAGTCTGAAAGAAACACTGAAACCAACCCACCCCCCCACACACCACCCCCCCACCCCCACACCCCCCCCCCCCCCCACACACACCCCCCCCCCCCCAAAAAAAACAAACATGTCTACCGTCCCATTGCAAGAAAACCACTTTTTAGATTAGACACATTAATTAGGCGGTAATTTTATTATAGAGTATCGATGAAGAAATTTCTTTTGAGTTGGGGAGGGGGGGGGGGGCTCAGACGTTCTTACGCGGGGGGTGGGGCTTCGCCCCTACCCGAAGAATTGTATGCAAGAAACTCTTCACGCAAACCATTTAGATTAGACAACATTTCCTTTTTTTCAATGTTTACGCGATAATCAATGACGTCATATTACTGTGTGCACTCTCTGGTTTGAGATTATGTTCTACTCTACGCTAAATGTGTCGACGTCATATTTCGTTTTTCGAATTACTGTGCATGTTTTTATTTTGCTTGTGTTTTCTCTAGAGCGTTCTTGTCAGACAGAGCGTTCTTGACAGACAGCGAAACTATTATTATAGATGGTTTTTCAAAAGCCTGTAAGTTAAGTAGTATATATATAGAAGACCTAATTCCCTATTTTATGACAAATTTGGAGTAATTTCCTGTGACCGTTAGTACTTTAGGGGTCATACATTTATGACGTCCACAAAAATTTGGGATTTTAGACCCCCCCCCCCCCATCCACATGCATCCATTTTTGACGAACCCCCCCACCCAATTTGGACGTCCACAAAAATTTTGTAGACCTATCAAATACATGCTGCAAAATTACTAATTCATTTACATTATATAATTGTAACATGGTTGTTTTAAGATCTACTTCATCTTAGGCTTTAACACAAAATAATGATGTAGGCCTACTATGATTTAGTAACAATTGTTTGAAATGTTTAAAAATAAACTTGAAATGACCTGAATTGTTTTAGAAAATTGCCGCGGTCACTGCCCCATCCCCTCTGCGTGTGGACGTTATAAATACATAACCCCTTATCATATTTTTGATTTCTCAGAAAACGCATATGAATTTATTTTCAACTTGATTCCTATGTCTTTCTTTATAAAGTACTAATGTTCTGCACTATCATACACAGATTATTAGCTGTTCATTTGGTGCGAAATTCTTTTTTCTATGAGATTCTATTAAAAAAATTTAAGTTTTTGAAAATTGCTTTTTAAAAAATGTCTACATCCCGACTGCACTTGCGTTACCATCCCCATTAGTGTTATTCAAGGAAGTTTAGGGGAGATAACTCCTGCTTTATTTTCTGTAGTTTGAATATGACCCCAGATTAATTCTAACATGAGATAAGTGCTAAGACAATAAAATTGGTACTTCTCTGCTTAGACAGGACGGTACCTGTCTGCAAACTTGTAAATCACATTACAACACTGTTGTTAACATTTCAAGGGTTTTCCTTAAACATAAAAATATTAAGCTGCAGATTTTTTTTTCAATCTTGCAATAGTTGCAACAGTATTTCCTCTTGATCTACCTACTTACATTTTACACGTTGCAACTTACTAGACAACCAATTTCTTTTATTCACAACAAGGATCATTCTGCATTTTAAATTGCATAAAGTCTGCAAAACTTTTCTTCCAAAATATACAAATAATTAAAATTTATTGTTAACATGGTTTTGCATGTTCTATTTTAGTAGTAGCAGATCTATAAGTATGACTCATTTAGTCTCTACCATCATACATCTCCAACTGTGTTCAAATTATGATATTGGCAAGGTTCCTAATGAATTGTAATGATCCAGGTGTGGTCTTCTTCACCTTTTCCACTCAAAGTGAAGCACTGGCCATTTACAATATACTTTCCTGCTTTTCTGCCCTTTGATATTTTTCCATTTCTTTCCAATTCAATTTAATTTTCATGACTTGTGATTTGTGCTTGGCTTTGTCACATTTGTGGATTCCACAGTGAGTGAAATATTCTTTATCTATATATATAATTCTCTTCTGGGAGACGTTAGAAAACAAGCTGCAAGTGCACCCCTGCAGTCCCCTCTCTTCCTCTCTATCGCTACCACCCCCACCCCCTCACATGGTTAGGTGAGCTGTGGTTCACGCTAAATGTTTACAAAACAATCGTATATCCGGGTTTGGTGACGGCTTTTAGGGGCAGATAATTTAGTTTGAAACGATTTTAAACTTAGAGGAGGTAACTAAGAGGAGACTGCTTTCACTGGGGGGGGGGGGGGGGGGGGGGGGGGGGGTTAGTGTTTGAAAGCAAATATTTTCAGTGGCAACATTGGTACTGTCGAATTCACAAATTATGAATTACTGAAAAGTAGAAAAAACAACAACTAAATAGCGGTGTATGATAGAGCAAATTACATTGTCCGAACACTACATGGGACCGAACACTTCGTCGGTTTTTGGCTCATAGAAACTTTAATTAGCATGTCTCATGCGAAACAACGGCGCCTGCACGTAAACTGTTCATTTATGAACACTTCCGTGTCAAGTACTTCCGTTTCCTCTCTCAAGAATTATTTTTAGAAAATTTTTAACGTTGCATGGTACGCACATTTCTATTTTTACACCAGCCGGATGAAGTGACCTAGGGTTGGACTTAGGGGCAAAACTTGAACCAATCAACGCTTAGCTAAAAGGTTACACTATAAATAGCTTCTATATATGTATGGAACATCTTAAATGTCAAGGTTAATGGGTTATTTTGTGCTTGAACAATAAAAAAGGGGTGTTCGCTAACTTTTTTGACCTTACATGGGACCGGACAGCAACACAAAAATATTATTAAATAAGAATTTAGAGCATAAAAGGGGCTGGTTATTGAAGGGAAAGGGTCAAAATAAGGTCAAGAATGCAGTGGAATGCGAAAGAGGAGGGGGAATCATGTGACCTGGCTGGCTTAGCAGCGTACTGCGCGAGCCGCAATGGCTGAATGGGATGAACTTTGGGAGTGTGGGAAAAAGGTTTTATACTATTAAAATTACCTCACAAACAATCAATAACACAATATAAATGCATATAATATATGTTTTTATTCATTAAATTGACTTTAAATTATTCTAAATGAACAAAAAGTGCTTTGTCCGATGACGGGTAAAGGTGTCCGAACACATTTGAAATTGTATTACATGTGTCCGAACACATGTTAAGACCCCCCAGTCACTATAACAAGAATAGCTAAAGTTCTATGCGTATGAATACAAAATGACACACACATTATTAAAGTAGAATGATTGCGGATAGATATGATACTTTTTTTTCCTTCCTATGTTAAGCGGTTACTGAATGAGACCGCATGGAAGTTTTAAGTTGCGTTTTTTTCGCGGTGTGTGTCCGGACAGTGTAATTTGCTCTACACCCTACACCGCGGGTAGGCTAGTATAATTTTAAAATTTATTTTGAATTGATTCTAGAAAACCTGGAATCTAGATCTATTTGGGTGTATTTAGAAATATCTAGATTATAATATGCTCTAGATCTAGAAGCCTATTTTAATTAAATTATCAATCTCAGACATTCTCAGACATTTTTTCGCTGGAACTGAACTAACCCTCGAATGATAATGCCAATGATGTCAAGAATTACCGGCGTCCGTAGATACAAAAATGAGTAAACAACAGAGTGAGGATTTTAAAAAATTAAAAATAATTTAAAGTATTTACCCTAGCATCTGAATAACATTATAAGCAACTAAATATGCTGTAACACATGTATTGTTAGGTCTTGAGTCTCTTGTTCGGGGTGGACTCGAAGATGTTTCTGGCGACATGATTATTTTAATTTTTTAACTAGCCTAGGACTCTAGTTCTGCCTAGTCTTCCCAACAATATAAGGTGCTTTAAAAACTAAGATCGGGTTCAAAATCCAACATCGTGCGATGCTAGATCAAGATCTAGATCTATATCTTTTACCATTGTTGGAATAAATAATTTTTAAAAAATGTGGGTCCACACTTTTCTCATTTTATTATAAAACAATACTTCTTAATTTACTGAGGGCCACATTTTTTAAAAGTCCTATAAAGAAAGTCATTATTATTGTAGGCCAAGACAAAAATAAGAAAATATGATTAAATGAACGATTTTTTAAAAATGTTATCATCGATTTAATGCTATTTAATTTGATTTTTAATGATTATAAGCTAATTAAATTTTGTATTAATAAAAATTTACAATTTAAGTATTATGAATTATAATTATAATTTTTTTTTTTTCGTTACAAATTTTATTCTACAAATATCTGCCTGCATTAAAAACTTAACTCGGCTCCCTTCGCAACGTGAAAACAAATTCGGTGAAAATAACCTAGCAGTTAGACCTCCTAATCTAATACTAGATCTAGTTCTAGTCTAAGAAACAAATTAAAAAAATGGTATGTTTGGACGGTGATCGTTATGTAATTTTAATTTAAGTTTAAATTACTTCATGATTTGACTACGGATCAATATGATAATTGATAATATTAATATTATGATGTTTTATAATTATTATTTAAAAAAAAACAACTCAGTTAAACAATAGATCTAAAAACTTATTAAAAACAAGCCCTTTTATTGGCTTTTAACTTTTAAACTTAAGATTTAAACACTTAAAGTATTAGGCCTAATACTTAAAAAAGGGATATTGTTACTACTTTTGTTTTAGTAAAAAACCCATGTTTTACAGTAACTAATGTTAAGAAAACTCAACAAACATTACCAAATAATTTCCGACTCTTTACTGAGGGATTACCCAAAAGTGTTTTATATTAGTATTATCAGTAATTTCAATAAATTTATGCAAGTACATGCCAGCATGTCTTTTATTTCATTGCTAAGTTATTTGGAGACAAGAAAGAAACAAAAGTGGCTCTTGTTTTTTTAACCAAAACTTTTAATGATGTTTAACTGTGTACAATAAAGATGCAATCAAATTTTAAAAATCTCATGTGGTGGTTTAGGTTTGAGGCCTTATGATATAAACCAATAATACTGAGGTTCGGGTGTTGTTTGACCTAATTTTTAAGCTGTAATAATAGCTGCCAGAAAAGATCAATCCATGTTCACTTACAAAGTTGAACAGAAATTTCAAAACCATATTATGTAATTGATTTTATCAAGAAAATTCTACAATACTGATTAAATTATAACAATATGGTATATTCGTTCAATATGCAAAGTACAATTAGCAGAAGATAATGTGAGAACTAACATACAGTTTTATATTAAACTATTTATTTTTTATTCTATAACTTTGGTTGGAAATAGAAAATTAAATACACCGCAGTAATAAAATAAAAAAAGATTCCTGACACTGAAGAAAAATTTACAAAAATAACTTAGAGACAACAGTAGACTAATCCTGCCCATATTGTCTGCAATGCACTGTTTGGATGGGAAGAACTCTAGCAGGAAATTAAGTTACATCAACACTCTTTTAAAGTTAGCTAACCCACCTTATCAGTTATAGCATCATAGCCATTTAATAACAAGCATAAATTTTTTTCAAAAAGCATCATGTGTCTTTTAAAATGTTTTTTTTTTTTACCTCTACTTAGGCTTTAGAAATTATGCGCAGAATAAGTGCCCACATAGGAGTTACAAACTTTATGGTGATAAACAAAGATGGTGAGTAGTAAAAGTATAATCATTTGATTTCTAGACTTAATACACAATTCTTTAACCAAGGGAAAACAAGAACAGTTTTCATCACACAAAAAATCTCATGGTTAAATAAAGAACTTTACTTAGATTTTAGCTACTTTCATGCCTATGTCTAGGATTATGTTTACAATTAAGTTCAGGGAATACAACTGAGGCATTCACCATAAAGGCTATGGCTTGGTATAGTTAATATCTTTATTCATTCTTATATCAAGTTTGAGTTGTTTTACCTCTACTTTATTCTAAACAAAAGCACTGAATTAAAAAAAAAAATACCTATTTGAAATCTATTCACTCTGCAGCACATTTTTATTACATGTACATAATATGTTTTTTAAAACTGGCTAAATACTGAATGGAGAGTGTTGTTTATTATATCTTGTTTCATACAGCTCTATTATACCTCATGTAATCAATACAGGTTTACCTCTGTACTGTTCTAGTGAGTTGAGCAAAAGTAAGGAATCTCAAATCAAACACATTTACGAACTGGTCATCGCAGCACGTAGGATGATCCGTGATGTAGACCCAACAGACGATCTTATGTTCTTACGTACTGGAACTGGCCAGTCTGAGCTGCTTATTTCCCCTGGTCAGTATGTAATAATAGTTTAATTAATTGAAATTTATAATCAACTACGACTTTCTTTTTCTTTCAAAGTTTTTAAATTGTTTGATATGTGTCTTAAAACACTGGAAATACTGAATACGTGAACTCTGTGGTAAAAAACCATAGCTTAAACAATTATAGTTAATTTTTCTCTGTTCATTAACTACTTCATTCTAAAGCCAGTTGTTCATAAGCAAAGCTTCCCATTTGTGGGTTTAAATAAGCATTTAAAGCTCAGTTCAGCTTTTTGCTCTCAGCAGATTAGATCTTATCATTTTCCTGGTCTAAATTTAAACAATCATCAAACATTTACCATTAATCTGAGCCTCCACCATAAATATATTTTAAAGTTCATGCGCAATTCTTTATCTCAAATATCTTCTCAGTCAGTGAATTTATATTGTTTAAAAAAAAGAGTTTAAAATTAACTCTGATGATCTATCACTGTGACTAAAATTCTGGTGATCTATCACTGTGACTAAAATTCTGGTGATCTATCACTGTGACTAAAATTCTGGTGATCTATCACTGTGACTAAAATTCTGGTATGTATCACTGTGACTAAAATTCTGGTATGTATCACTGTGACTAAAATTCTGGTGATCTATCACTGTGACTAAAATTCTGGTGATCTATCACTGTGACTAAAATTCTGGTGATCTATCACTGTGACTAAAATTCTGGTGATCTATCACTGTGACTAAAATTCTGGTGATCTATCACTGTGTCTAAAATTCTTGTGATCTATCACTGTGACTAAAATTCTGGTGATCTATCACTGTGACTAAAATTCTGGTTATCTATCACTGTGAATCAGATTCTGGTGATCTATCACTGTGACTAAAATTCTGGTGATCTATCACTGTGACTAAAATTCTGGTGATCTATCACTGTGACTAAAATTCTGGTGATCTATCACTGTGACTAAAATTCTGGTGATCTATCACTGTGACTAAAATTCTGGTATGTATCACTGTGACTAAAATTCTGGTATGTATCACTGTGACTAAAATTCTGGTGATCTATCACTGTGACTAAAATTCTGGTGATCTAACACTGTGACTAAAATTCTGGTGATCTATCAATGTGACTAAAATTCTGGTATCTATCACTGTGACTAAAATTCTGGTGATCTATCACTGTGATTAAAATTCTGGTGATCTATCACTGTGACTAAAATTCTTTATGCTATCACACTGACATGTGATGCATGTAAACTTGACCTGCACTTGAGGTATGCTTAGATTAAGTGGGTAGAAACAGATTTACATAAAATACTTTTGTAACAACCATAAATTAGTTTCAAACTGAAATTAGGTCAGTTTTAATAGAATAATGGATTTTTTTATATACACCAGATTAGTCCAGCATTTAAAATAATTTATTTTGATAAGCATATGGTGACAAAAATAAAGCTATAAAAATACTCTAAATTTTTAATTGGATTGTATTCAACATGTCAACTTAACAGTAATTAAACATTCATGATATAATTTAACTTTCACATAATCAGAACATTAGAATTTTAAATATTTAAATTCACAATATGCTCTTATTATAAGCAGAAGATTAGTATTTTAAAACATTCATGATTTTTATCACATCATTTTTCACAAAATATACTTAATATAGTTCAAGAATTAATCATTTTAACTAGATTGTCTTTCAAATGATGATTTTTACATCTTCATACAATTACAAGGTGAAATATTTTATGTATATTTTATTTGTCTTTGGACAGACAAGGACTTCACAGTTGTTGTGGTGCAGAATGTCAACCCGAGTAAGAACAGCTCTAATGAATCTTTATGAAGACAAGCTGGTGTATTGATTTGAGAAAATAATCACAAATTTCTATTGCGCCTTAACTAGAAGAGAATAGAAATTACTTGTCATTGTTGTATTATAATGTAAATAAATTTTTTTTAAAGTTGTATAGAATGTTTTATATAGTCCTTATTATGGAAAAAATTGAAAGTCAAAATGAATATTTTTCTCACTTTCAAAAAAATAATAATTGCAAATTGCACAAAAATAATTAAGTTGATTAAAAAATTATGAAAACATGAAACTGTTGCAGTAGTTAATAATACCCTTCATGAAGAATCATATTTTTTAAGCACTAAATAATGAATGATATTAATAAAAGACTGCAGTAATAAAAAAATAGCCAGATGAAGTCCCATTTAAAGAAAATATCCTGACCATAGTATTTTGACCTGTATCACAATATCAAACATGTTTAGGTATTGTGAAATATTAACTAACAGTAATAATATAAACATAACAAATGTCAAGATGGGAAAGTAAAATCAGCTGGACATAGTGCTGACCACACAACCCCATCATATGCTGAGGTCACAGAAACAGGTGATCTCTACTTCACTTGTCCCAGGCACCATCAGCTTCAAAAAGGGAACTTGCAAATTAAACTTACAGACATTATTTGCCTTGCTATTGGTTTTCAATTTTTAAAAAACACTAATTTCATTAATGATATATTATGTAGTATAAACACATAAGTAGCTATCCCTGCATTGTGTGATTAACAAATATATATACAGAGAGCCAACAACTCTTGGAATGGTTAGAGCAAAATCTCCTCCCTCCCCCACATAAAAACAAGAAATTAACAATGCAACAAAGGATGGCAGAAGGCACGAGTGGCTAGCAGACTTTTAAATAAAGCATTTTTGAAAGAAAGTTCTGGGTAATGATGAAAATAAAATTATAAATTTTTTAAAATGATGATCTCAAAGGGCTTCCATAAGTTTGCTAATAAGTCTATCAGTCATGGGTGCACTGGGTTTCAACAGTTTTCTTTCATTCAGTAAGGATCTGTAAAGAAAAAACATTACATGTCTGTACATAACAAATGCCAACACTATGGTTGATACAACTACCAGACAATCAAAATAATAACGTAAGTATTAATTGTGGTCAATACAATTAGTAGACAGTTAAAATAATGCTAATACTAAATTTTAACAAAACAATTACGTCACATTGAAAATAATGTAAATTAAAATTTTGTTTTACCGTGCCAGATTTTTATCCTGAGCTTTGATGGCAGCTTGAATGAGGAACAAATTTAGTAAATCTCTCTGAAATAAATATAAAGTAGAAGACATAGATTAGCTAACTAATGTCCAGCCAACAGTATCTACGTTTATAGTGTGTACATAAAATACAAGAGTAACACAGATAGTACTAGTTTTGCTACACTGACACAACTAAAACAATTAACATGCACTTACACAACTAAAAGAATTAAACATGCACTTACACAACTAAAATAATTAACATAAAAATCGAAAGTTTTGCTGAAAATAGTTAAAACAATACTAACAGTTAAGGCACTTAATAAAAAATATAATGATAAAAAAATTTCAAAATGCGTAGGTAAAAAATATTAAGTCAGAACTGACCTGAGCATGACTTCCACCAATTTTAATAATTTTAGAGCGCACTGGTATGATTAAATCAATAGCTGTTCTAAAATCACCATCATCATAGGAAATGAAAGCTTTCAGAATTGTCTCCCCTACTTCTGCAGTGACATCACGGTTAGTTCCCTTCCCATTTCTGATAAATAAAAAATAGAAATGTTCCTGACTTGCCACAAACTAGAAAACAAGTAGCTTTTTATTATTTCTTAATGTCACAGTTTTTGTACTGTCTACAACACATGCTAGAAATTGCTCATATAACAGAAATCAAAACTTTTTAATGAGACCTACTGCATACTTCTGCCAAAATGCAAATTTGTCTCCCAATGAACAAAATCATAACACCCACACGTAATAAAAAAAAAATCAAAACAAGCATGCCTGATGAAGTCTTGAATAGAGTCCATTAACTCTTTCACAGCCTCCTTCTGATCTGCGCCCAAACAGGCAACAACAAGATGCATGTCATTGAAGGCCAGGACATGATCACGCAGGTGTGGCTTACACACCTGGTAAACTTTATCCCACCTGTCCCCAACATTTACACCTGTGAATAAAATAAACATAAAAATCTTTATAACAACAAGCGTTGAACTTCACTAAAAACAAAATAAAACAAGCATTCTTTCTTTTGTAAAAGTGTTGGTCGCTACAATGTGTAGAAGATTTCACAAGTGACGTTTTAATAAAGAAAGCAAGTTTGTTTTATTTTCTTATTTTTAGTGCATGCTGAGGGGTGGTCGAGTCGGTAAAGCTCATGGTTGCTAAACGAAAAGTCTTGAGTTCAAACCCTCGGGCAGATGCGGCTCGTTAGCTGGGGATAGCCACTCTTCTAGGAGAGACAACTCCAAAATCAAACAACTGCTGCAGTGTAGTTTGTTCTTGGTTGGACAAAGGCTATGGAAGCAAATCCAAAAAGAAAAGCAGGCTGAAATTGGACTCAATGGTGAATAACTTAAGAACAAAGAAGAAGAAGAAGTGCATGCTGGGCTCCAACCTTCCATTTGAAGTCTGTACAACAGGGAGCAGACATCAACCACATCCAGCATTGCCCCGGAGTTAGCTGCCCTTACAGAAACCTCTTGATCAAACAGTGACAAAGCTTGGTCATAGTCACCCTGGATCAAATTAATTTAAAAAAATTAATTAAATCATTAAATTCTAAATTTTCATTTAAAAAGTTAGTTGTATGTCAGTTTGCTTTTAGATATAGGCTACTTCAACAGTAATCTAAGCACATTTTAAAATGCAAGTTATATTGTTACCAGAAATTTGGATGTTTGGTTCAAGTGAAATTCTGTTATAAAATCACAAGAATTGTAGTCCAGAGTGATCCAGCACACAATTACTAATACCCAAAGTCTAAGACTTTCAATATGACACCTCAGATTCCACCCTACTTTAACAGGTGTCTAACTTGAATGAAATACAATTTGATGTTTTCCTAATATCTGCATACAATGTATGGTGGTTACAACCAGTGATTTAACCACACAGATCAGTTCAGAGTGGTCTAACATTGCTGCTACTTACACTCTATGCATAATTAGGTAGAAAAAGAACAGCCATACATTTCCCTCTTCCCATGCACTGTTTAAATCTTACACATACATCTTTACTTACTATCTCAATGAAGTAAAGAGCCCAATGCCAAAAGTTATGGCAAGCCAACATGCCACATGCCTGAAAATTTAAAAAATAATATTTATACTCAACTTTAAACATAATTTTTTAAAACTTTCACATAATATCAAGTAAATTTTAAGAAAGGAAAACTCAAGCTCACTTATTAAAATTTAAACACAATTTTTCGATAATTTCTCTTAACTAATGTAATTGATTTATTAATTGTTATTTACAATTTTAATAAAAAAAAAAACTTGTTCAAAAACCTAAAACAAAATATCCTTAACTTTTTTAAATTTAAAAGACATACAATGATACATTTTGTAAGAAAATAAATTTTATAAAGTAGTTCTTAAAAGCTTATTAGGCATGGCACAAATATGTCTAAACCCAACCTTCCAGTATTGGCCAGTTTTCTCCAACATGTGAATCCCTTCATGTTGTCTTCCCATCATCTCCATGACATGGCACAGTGTATGTGTGGCCCAAGCATCTCTAGCATTTATTGACAACGCCTGTCATTTTAAAAAAGATAATCAAAAAATATAATTTCCCAAATTTTAATTCCAAAACTATTTTTGTAAAAAGCTATGATCACTCTGCAAATGCCTAAACACCATTGTCGTTAAATGTCCAAATAATTACAAATAGTATGAGCAGTAACATTTTTAATAATTTCAATTTAAGAAGTAGGCCTATATTGGTATTTAAAAAAAAAACAACAACCATTTAAAAACATTCTAGAAGACTGAAACTGAATTTGTCACCATCCTCACCTTTCTAGCCGCTGCTTCTGCTTCTTGGTACAAATTTGTTTCCTCTAGTCCAAAAGAGTGCATCCCAACTACATAGCTGAAGGAAATACTTTAATTTGTTTGCTTCTAAATGAAATTGTTGCTACAGTTAAATTATTTAAATTATTCAAAAACAGATTCAAATAAAGAAAAGTGTGCCATAAAACATCCAATATAATAATTTTGGTTAAAATATAATTAAATTTTTTTTGTGTGCAACCATCACTTGTATTTTTCTGCATTTCGAGACAAGTAAATGTATTAAAAAAACAACTACATCCGCTATCTAAGTATGTGAATGCATATTAAGCTTATTTTTTATAGGGACAAAGAAAAAAATGTGGAACATCTTGTCTTATTAAAAAAAGATGCTATGAGGTGTAAACACGTAGTTACCCATAGAGTGGCATGGCTGGTTTCCATTGTGGTAACACCCTGGCAATGCTGTCTCGAATCTGACAGGAGTTACCCAGGTAAAAATAAGTGTCGTGTGCCAACTTGAGGGCCAGTACGTCATGAGGGTGCTCTACCAAAATATCTTCCCAGACCAGTGCAGCTCCTTCCATGTCTCTGTGTGAATAAAAGCATAGTATTGTCATTAAATGACATCTGGTATTGTCATTTAATGACATGTTATTTTCATTATATGACATCAGGTTTGTCATCAAATGACCAGAAATTATTTGACAAATAACATGGGGATACAGGGTTAGACTGTAAATTTACTTCCTAACAAAAACAAAGAAACAAATAAAGTAAATGATGTGTAAACATTTCTAAATATTTTCCAATCAAATAATGGAGATTTTAATCTAACAGCTAACTTTAGTTTTATTTGCTTTTTGTTTACACTGACCAAGAATTAAATACATAGTTCCATGAAAACAACTTACCCATTTGTCCATAGTTCTATGAAAACTCAACTCACCCATTAGCCCACAGTTCTAGGGCATTGACATGCTTCTTCTCTCTGCCTGTTACTTCTGGAACCGTTTGGCTCCTCTCCACCATCCTGTCAACATCGTTACTCAAAGACTGGTCTAATCGAATGTTGCGGCCAGTGCCCAGTAACTCAAGGCCATTCTGGACAACCTGACCCATCACTTGAACACATTCAAAGGAATATCACACTTTTTTTAAACTTCTAAATCTACAGCCTACTTAGTTAAACATTGGCTTTTAAAAACCTTAAAATAATAATGCTAATATATAGTAGTTAGAAAAATTGCTTTTATTTTCGTAAAAACCTAGGCCTATATATATCCAAATGAATATTGCCATCAACTAGTGGTTACCAAATTAGCACAAATTAGCAAGTGTGACTCAAAAGGGAGGCACAGACTAGTGCTGTGGGACAGGACAAATTTTTGTTTGTACAGAAAACTACAATAGAAAATATACAGGTGCATATATATATATATATATATATATATATATATATATATATATATATGTATATATATATCTGTCTATTAATTTGTTCTTACCAAAGTCAGGGTCAGCCTGTCTCAGTTTTTCCAGTGTCCCAGCCATCCCACCCAGGCTGTCATCATCATACCACCCTGTGTACTGGAGGCAAACAACGAGAAGGTAAACAAATGGTATTTTACATTCTAAGTATACAGACTCTGCATGTTGTGATTTGTGTGAAATCTATACTGATGTACTCTCACTAGTTTTGTAACAGTGATATGTTGTAAATATGATTTAATTTAAGTGCAAGGGGTTGGATACAATGTTGAAGCATCACTGTGATGCAGAGTAAAAAAAAGCACAGGAATACCAAACAGGTATTTGTTTCACTTAGTCTTGGGTAGGATTTGTTTCAAAAGAGAATCTACACTCACTGAGATAAGTTATACACACTTACGTGAGGAAAAGTATTCTGGGCAAAACTGATGGGCTCTTAGTGGTTAAGGTTTTGGGCACTGGTTTATGGAATTTGGGGGGGGGGGGGGGGGGGGGGGGGGGTGGGGTCAAAGTCTACTTAGGAGAGGTAATTTAGTAAGACCACTTTAAAAAATGTTAGTGATGTGCCCGTTACCAGAATGACCATCATACCTTTCCCTCACAATCCTGTATGACCAGCCCCCTTAAATACCTAAGTGATAACCATCTCTCTATGCATACACATGTATGATGACCCATACCTTTCATAATCTATCTACTGTCTCCCCTCTCTCCTAATACCTGTAGTACCTTCTACAATAACTATCTGACCAACCCCCACACCCAATTCCTATAGGACCATCCCATCCTTTCTCTATGTGCCCCCCCCCCCCCCCCCACACTAATGACCACTCTCCTACCCTTCCCCCAATACCTGTGTGACAATGGCATCATACAGTTTACAAGCTTCATCACTGGCTGTAGTTAAAGGTAGACCTTGTTTTATCCAATCCTTAAAATTAAAAAGGCAAAAAAAATTGTAAACCAATAAGGTTTCAAGAATAGACTTTTTAAAAGTATAAAATGGGCTCTACATGATTTTCTTTAAATATATCTATAACAATGGATAACTATTTAAATAACTAGCATGGGTCACAATATTATAATTATGTGTAATGTACCTTTTGGGACTTTAGGTCACAGTTAAATAGTGGTTCCTTATTACATATTTAAAGACAACTTATTTTCTCCTGGTTAGTGCATAATTATATAAAAGCTTGTTATCCAAATGTTTTTATAAAAAAAATATTAAATCCTACAAACCAATGATCCTCTCCAGTGGGAATGCATGACAAACTTTTTCAAGAAACTCTAGAGTCTAGGTCACTTAAAAAAAAAAGAAATATCCGAGAAGTAAAATATTGAAATCATGGAGTACATGAAAGCCTCCAGAGGCGTAGCCACCCTTCCCGGCGCCCAGGGACAAACTTTCAATTTGCACCCCTCCTCAAACATTTGATTTGCACCCCCGACAAACTTTCGATTACTTTTTCCAAGCCAATTTGGTACCCCTATCGCTACGCCTCTGGCCTTATTAATGTCCCTAACATAAGTGCCTGAACATAATGAGGATGTGTGATGAAGGGGAGGGGGGGGGGGAGGTGAAAATCGTCAAAAAAAGCGTGACGTCATTTATGGCTATGGATGGCCCCTATGGTCCATGGCAATGGAGGGGGAGCTCTGGCTTCTAGTGCTTGTGTGTGACAGTGAGGGGGATAGTTAAAATACTTAAAATAGTTTAAAAAAGGTAAAAGACATACTCTATTTTTCTTAGCCCTACTAGATCTAGATACTATATACTTTTATTAATTATATTTAAAATATATTATACTACCACTCAAACTCAATGCAACAAGCCCACACACAGTGGGTTCGTTCTGCTAGGGATACAAACTACAAACAATAATTTTTAGCCTTTTACTTTTACTTACTTAGAATACTTAGGCCATTAATATTTTATTTATATTTGATGTTACCAATCATTACACTTTAGATCTACATTCTAGACTAAATGGACTCTTAGTCTTAACTAACCTCGTGATCTAAGAGTGAAGAGTAAGAAAACGACTAGAAATCTAGATCTAGATTCTAGATTCTACCTCTGTACTGTGAATCAAAACAAACTATTGTAACGTAAGTGACCTCTTGACTTTTCACCTCTCACCCATTGTAAAAAAACATCGTGGTCTGCTGCTATTTGCGTCAACAAGCCAAAAGGGTAAAAATAAAAATACTGGTATTTTTTATCTCATACAATAGATCGATAATTATTATCCATCATCAAAATTATTTTTTTAAATGTGAAGAAGTAATTTCAAATTATGTGGGCACCAATTTAAGGTAAAATATAATTTGGCGTAGTGATCTAGATTTTAGTTCAATGAAAACAACGTAAGTAGAGAATCTGTCAAGTTTAATATTTTCGTTCACTAGCTTCCCAAAGCTGATCTGTGACGTTTGACAGAGAAAACAAAATTTTCATTAAGCAACGTTCATATATAACGTCACGCATTTAAAATAAGTTTTATCTCCCGTCTGCTCCATCGTCACAGAAGACAGGCCTCCATTTTCTTAAAACGTCGTAACATTCAGACTATCACCATCATTTTTCCTTTGTGGACATCTCATGTTAAGGATCTGTCGTGAAAATGTATTTGTGAACGACTGTAGCCCATCTGTATTTGCCTTTGTAACCCTCCAAGTCTCCGAGCCATAGAGCAATACTGCCTTGACATTTGTATTGAAGATTCTTATCCTGCTCTGGAGTGATAGGGCTGTGCACTTCTATATTGAGCTCAGTGAGTTGAAGGCACATCTAGCCTTGTTGATACGACATTTTATGTCCTCGTCTGCTCTCCCGTCCGTATTGATCACGCTCCCAGATTCGTGAATGTGTTTGTTTCTCATATATCTTCTCCATTCAGACTACTCACCACCATTTAAAAAAAACAACACAACAACCGAGTAGTGGTAACTGCTAAAATTTAGTGTGAAGTCGCACTTTCTGTCGTATTAGTCACAATGATATATATTATTTATAACACATATCAATATAAAGCAGACTGACACGACATGCTATATGTAAATTGTAATTCCACAGCATTATTTTTAATATTTTAAAAGTGGTTAAATTACTTCCCTTAGATGTTGGCAGCGAAACAAGATTATTTTATCTGTGTTAACTCCCTTTGACTTCATTTTGGATCTCGATATGCAAGTAGTTCTTAATGGTGTCTTTTTGTTTCTAGTAAAACAATTCGATTGTTTAGTAATTAAAAAAAAACACAGAAAAATTAAAAATTAAAAACTAACCAACAAAAATAACAACAACAACAAAAAGACGTATATTGATTTAAACGAACTCAATGCATAACACAGTGGTAGTATTTTTATTGTTATTTTTAGTTTAAAAAAAAGAGGGTAAAGTGATCCATGAGCTAAAAATAAAAGCTCATCATCTCACAATTGTACAACGTACACACTTGGTACACAGCTCAGTTGTACACATTGTGTAAAAATTAAAACACAACACAGAGCAATTAAAAATTACAATTATTAAAATGGCCCCATTTTACCCCACACATGCCAGAAAGGCCAATTCGACCAACTGTCCAAACAAAAAGTGTGAAAACTGCCTTTTTGAAGACATTTCTGATGATATAACTTTAGAGCTAATTATTCGATCTATTTTTGAACGCTATACAATATATTTCTACATTCACTATGTTACAAATAAAAACTAGAGATGAAAAATTTTAATAACAGAATTAAGTTTGCAATTACCACTAATTCCGTCTTTAAATTATGATTGATTAATTTATTAAAAAAAAAGAAAAGCAAATTTTTTTAAAATTTTCAGTCCACAATTAAAAAAAATAATAATTAAAAAGTAATATAAAAAATAAAATAAAAAATAAAAAAAAACTTTTAACCAATCCTACGCGACCTACCAAACACACCGAGCCAGATGCCGCAAAAAAAAAAAAAAAGTATTAAGGTTCATGTGCGTGCATAGGATATTTACATTTTAATATCAAGGGATAGTGTTTCATTAAGTTAAATCAATATAGCAAAATCATGAATGAATCACTGTATATGCGTTTGTGTGAGCAGGATCTAGAAAAAAATGCCGAGTCTTCTGGCTCTGGTACCGACCTCCTATATATATATATATATATATATATATATATATATATATATATATATATATATATATATATATATATATATATATACATATATATATATATATATATACATATATATATATATATATATACATATATATATATATACATATATACATATATATATATATACATATATACATATATATATATATATATATATATATATATATATATATATATATATATATATATATATATATATATATATATATATATATATATATACTATATCTACATGGAATAATTTTACCTTCCTCCTCCCAATGACAAATTACTGTTAAAAATGTCTGATCTTTGTGTTATATAACATGCGCATAATCCCCAATGTAGTTCTCTGACTTGTTTCTATGTCATGTCTCCATCTTGCACATAACAACAAAACACGACGAGACAAAACAACATAAATTTAGTCTAGAGATGTTCAAATGGAAATAAATATTTGGCTTAGATTAAAAAAAAATTGGCGTTGTGGGATTAACATTTTAAATTGATCAGCCAGCAACTTTGTCACATTGGAAAGTGGTGACCTAAATTTAAACAATTATTTTCTTTCGGCCAGGAAGACATATTTTTGTAAGTTACTTGTAGCAGCAATACACTTATTACCTGTAAACATTCGTTTAATAAATCATCACAATAAGGAGGTGTGTCACATTGGAAAGTGTATGCCAACTAAATATTGTTTGTTATAAAAAGATATAGTGAGACACAGGTTACAGTGTGCTAAAAATAAATAACAGCGAATACATTGAAAAGTAGACTTTTTTTTCATTGTATAAATTCTATAGCAATTTTTGAAAGGTTTACATTAAGATAACCAAGTTTCTGTATGATATCACGTTTGTTCTTAACAAAATACAATAAAACTGTAGGACAAATACGACTAAACATTGTTGTTTAAGTTTTGAATATATTCATAAAATAATTTATATAGGTAATTGACTCAACCGAATTAAAAAAAGCAAATAAAGAAGAATATTTTGTTTAATAGAAACTGAAGCAATGGTACTAGTAATTTATATTAAAAAAAATTATTGCTTTCTACAATTCACTTCCTCTTTTATTATTATTTATGTCCCTTTAGTTCGTAGAAAATAAATAAATGAAAGTTTAACATTTTATCACATTTGGCCATTCAGAAAAATAACGAACATACCTATGTTTAATAATACAAAAAAAAAATAATATAAAAATTGGATTACGTAGTTCTTTTTTACATTGTAAATAGAAAGTAATTTTTGATTATTGTTATAGGAATGTTTAAAAACATGTAGAATATGTAAAATAAATTATGAAACGTAATATATTAAGGGTACTGGCAGTGGAATGCTATATGAAACATTGCCCTAATTCCATATTTAAATATCTGCTACAAATCTTGTGCATGTTAATATGTATCGTAGAAAGAAACCAAGGTTTACAGCATTTAAAATTGGAGTTTGCTGTACAATACAATAAATAACAAATTACATGAATAAAATGGAAAACCTGCAGTGAGATTTAAAAAAAAAACCAACTAGGTGTTCTTTATTGATTTGTAATATAGACTTGTTAGTATTATATTAATGTCAGTATTATATTATTTTTGATCCACTTTGTTTTTACTTAACATGTTTTTAAAATAACAGAGAAAAAACGTTTATTCAAATTTATTCTTATATTAGGTAGGCCTATTCTATTCTTTTTAACTTTCCCCAATGAAAATAAGTATTTGAGAGATTCTGAAAAAAATCATTTGTTGAAATAAAAAGCCCCCCCCCCCCCCCCCCACAACAATAAGACCTTTTACTCAAATATGATACTTTCTTGTTGTTTTTGCTCTTTGCATATTTATTCTAATATTTATCAGTAGATCGACTTTACTTTAGTCATTTGAATTCAATTTTAGTCATAACGTTCAACATTTATTTTACCCAAACCATTTTAAATATTACTTTAGCCATCTCATTTTGAATTTTACTTTAGCCATTCCATTTGATATTTTACAAAGTCACATCGTTTCAAAACTAGACTTCATTGAAATAAGTGTAAATGATCATTTTCGTTTAGAATTTTATTTTGATATAAATATCTAAAGAAAATTAGCTGTATATTATAAATGTCTGAAGAGAAATAAGTGGTTTATAATTAGGGTCATTAGTAGAGGAACGAAAAGCCTAATTAGACACAGGTGTATACATGATTGAAACCAAACTGCCGCAATATTAATTACATCACCCGTTTTACACATAAAACAACAGACGTATGTATACTAGGTAAATATTTCAGTTCGTTTGTTCAATAAATGCAAAAATTGGAAGAAACCACACGAAACAAAATAATCTTGAAATCGTTATATCACAAGTTATAGTATCGCTGCCACTGTTGAGATTCCAGATCAATACAGCAGTTAGCGCCCTTGGTACACGGTGCGTTACGGTGCAATGTGCTACTATAAACAGAAATGTGCTATGTGTAATGACGCATTAATATATGAATACAATTAATCATCTTTTTAAATAGATGACAATAGGGAATTTAATACAAAATTTGTGCTTAAATGTGATATAGTTAAAATCACTTTGGTGCACTGGTTTGTATGTATCAATAATTAATAAATAGTTATAAATATTTTAAATATTTACAGCTGCGTGTGGTAGGGTGCCTAGTGCTGAGTTAAAAATCACTTAAATGACACTCATGGTGTTCCATAGTTTGTGCGGTCTTTGAAAAATAAGATCGCAAGCTCAACCTTGCAGAGGAAAAATGAGTTCGATGACACTCACGGAGTCTCATAGTTTCAAATCGCGGAGTGGAAAATCCAAACCAGCCATCGCTTGCATTTTATTTGTGCTGTTTGAAATATAAGTAGCCTTAGCAACGACGGTCGTTGCCATGAAGTCGGCTCACAGGAAGGTGCAGTTTGGTGACGTAGGCGTGACGTTGTGCACAGTTTCTGCGTGCGGAGACGGAAGTGTTAGGCTTGAC